CACTTAGTTAAATACCAGAAAATGAAATTCTGCAACACAAGGACTCAAACCTGAAAACATGTAGGTTATACTCTACCTAATCTCTGCTGAAAACCTAGCAATCAAGATACAACCTCTTGTATTTGGTCAATCAATACTATGTGAGGCCTGGAAGAACTAGAAAGTAACCCTTTTACTGCACATGCTCTGGGGATACATTTTAGCCATTACAGAAATCCCTCTTAGAATGTGCTAAAGCAAGGCAAACTCTTACATCTATCTAGGAAAATCACAGCCTGCGTAATACCCTGCTGAGATAGAAGGCTGATGATTGGTTCTACAACCCTTGGCTGTTATTAAAGGGACTAAGCAACACTACAGGAGCACCAGAACCGCTAACAGCACACTTCTGTCAGGATACTGCCCAATTTTTAAATGGGAACCTTTTGACAGCACAAAAGCCATATGGGAAAAAAAGGAGCTGTACATTATTAAACCAGAAGGAGAAGCTAAAAATAATAATACAAATTTAAATTCAACTGATGTTTAATACCTTATGACCATGCAGACACCAGCCGCATAAAAACATACTTAGTATAGTACAGAACACTCTTTGTGATTTAAACATGAATTTAGCTATTAAACAATTTTCTCTTTTTGGGGCACCTAGTTACAGTCAATGAGGACCAAAGACTTTGGAATGGGGAGCCATTTTTCCAGCCAGCTGAACCTCCAATAAGCACATTTTCCCCAGTGATCTCCTAAGACCACACTGGTAGCCTTATATAAAGCCAGGGCAATACAGCATCACTGATATTTAATTCCTACTCTGTTGCCTCACCAGAAGCATCATGTTGTTGCTGCAGGTCTACTGGCATCCAATACTTCTCTTCTCATGTTACACAAGGTTTTGTTTTCTAAATATAGAAAGCAAGGCAAGCACTTGCCTTCTTTAACAAGGAAAGAGTCACATTCAGATGCTTACTGAACACTTAGCATAGACTTCTTTCCTCCAATCATCACATCTCAGTGACTTTTCCCCTTCTTTTCCTAAAAGCATTCAAGATCTCAGTGACACCAGACCAAATAAAGATTCCCTGTTCTGCTCTAAGATCCACACAAAAGCATCCTAACTGATTTCTGACACTGGGACCAGCTCCTAGTACAAAGTTCATGCTAGATTCAAACTTTAGAAAAAGTTAAATGTAAAGTTTCTAGGTACTAAGTGATAATGCCTAATATTGCTCTAGAGATAATTTCAACTGAAATACACGTCCTCATAAAACAGTCCAGCAATAAAGTAAGACTGATTTTTTTCCCCCCTCCTTCATTTTTTCTTACTGTAAGGAGTACCTCTAGAACTAAAGTTGGATGAGGGGAGTGAAAAGAAAGTAAAACAACCCCCCCTAGTTTCCTCCTGAGTAAGATCTACTAGCTTAATATTACATCACAAGAATTAGAATACTTACAGGTCCCATAATTGTGGCTTGCCAATGAAACACTACAAAAGAAAAACTCCGCATTATTATCTATGCATGATACGATTTAAGGTAGCAGAGGAAAACAAAACTGAAGGTTACTTACTGTCATCTCCAACAGGACCTACTGTGCTGGAGGATCACGGGCTAAGTCACTAAGTTCCTTTAGGAAAAAAGAACAAACAAACCTCTTCAGAAACAGAATGACAAAAAACTCAGTAATTTTTCACTTCATGCCCAGCAAAAACCTTTAACAGTTTTTCCATACACAAACACAGAATGTGCAATAATAGCAACCAGAACCACCAGATCAGTATAAAAAAAAAGGTCTTTTCTAAAAAGACAAGCACCAAAACCGACTATGAAGGTAAACTGCTACAGTGACTATGCTTTTCCAAATACATATCACTGCTGCAAAGACACCCCAGCTGAAGAAGAGACAGGAAAGAGAGCAGGACACAGAGCCCAAAGTGGGCAAAGTCCAATCACCTTCTGACCAAGATTTTCAGGGATTCAGTCTTAGCCAGAGAAGGCTGGAGGGGGAAGAAAGCAAGCTACTGATGAGTCTTCATGAAGCAGAAAACATCATCTAAGTAATATTTGGCATTAAAACTCAGAACAGAAAGAGTGACAGGAGGGTTGGAACTAAATGATCTTTAAGGTCCCTTTCAACCCAAACCATTCTATGAAGAAAAAAAAACAACAACAAAAACCAAAGAGCGCAGAAATTCATTTTCCCCACTACCGCCAGCAGGGATGTATCTTGCATAAATTAAAGCAGACAGGAAAATTAAAGAGGTTGACAAATGTTGGAATCAAGCAAAATGCCTGTATTTTTTATTTTAAACTTCCCATTTAGGACAAATATGTATTTAAAATTCTGAATAACTGAGCTGTAGAAAGTTTCCTTAACCCATCAGAGGGAATGAAAACAGAAACTTCAGATGAAGGATCCTTGTGTAGCACCAAGATTGCTGCGATCAATCAAAGCAGCTCAGCGTTAATTTGTTTAAACACTTCACAAGTTACTTGTTTGGACAATGTCTTTTAAAATTAAAGTTTTATTTTCAGTTGAAATATGTCACAGATCCCTTCCCTCTTCCCTGCTCCCTTCTGAATCTACAAACAGCTTCAGGAGCTACTGTAAATCTGCACTTGTCAAGGCATCTAGAAGTCATGAGAAAAGGGAAAACCTTCAAGTCCCTCTCCCATATATTAACAGCTGCACAAAAGTTATTTTGCTACAAGTCTATACAAGCCACTAGAACAATAACTTTTCATTAATTTGTCAGACATTTAAGAAAACCAGGCCTATTATGCTGGAAATACATACAAACTTGGACCAGACAGCTAACTGTTTTGCCTGGGAAGATCATAATATAAATCCTTTAAGTTTCACAAATTCTGCACTTCATAAGAATTTATTAAGCGTAAGCCAACACAAAATGGGGGGGAAGGAATCACATTCCCTGTAACTTAAAAACCTTGTTCTTTGCTTTTCCCCACAAACACAGAGTAACACTACTTCAACACATAAAAGTCCATACACAAATACCCCCAAAACCCACACTACAAAACCCCCTCCAAGACCACCAAGAAAACTGCATCCTGCATTTCCCCTCTCTACATATCCACATTTTGATGATTTTGATGAACTTTCCAATTTGAACTTTGTCATTAACTAGATTTCAGTTTTGCACTGGAAGCAGACTGTTTTGTAAAAAGGAATTCTACCAGTTTTGATAAGCAATGGCACAAGGAAGTTTGTATTAGGGTTCATTTCACTGCTGCTGTTACATAGAAGGATGGGCAATGGCTCTTTCCACATTGTCACAACAGTAAATCCATTTGAAGCACATTTCTCTCCAATGCTCAGTTACTACTGGGGGTTCCTGTGATACTTATTTCTGCCATGAAATATCACTGATTAGGTCTGTATGTTGTTCAGTACCCTCCAGAAAAAATTGCTACGTTATATTTATATTACTCATGTAAAGGCAACAAGAAAGATAAAAGAACCTTCAGAAACAAAGCTTTTTAATTTTCAGGGTGGGTTTTTCTTCCCATTTAATAGATACAGCAGGTTTTCTTATCAGGCTTATTTATCGCCTAAATATATTTTCCAGTTTTAAAAACTATCAGTGATTTCCAAAATGAGTGGGGGGAAAAAAAAAAGCTATTTTGTCCCTTAAAGTAAGTTGTAGCAATAGAATAAGCAGAAAGACAAATGTTAATGTACTTGTATAGTTACTACTGGATTATTTTATTTAATTGGGGAAGAAGATCGGATCCTATCTTTTAAAAAACTATCACAGGGATTAAGAACTATAAAAATGCTCTTCATGCAGTTTATGAAAATTATAAAAATGAGTAGCATGAAGACAAAGACAAGAAAAGATCAGCATCAAGTGGACTGTCAGAGGTACATGCATTAGACAAGAGAGCTCTTCAAAAGGTATTATTACCTTCAGAAAAACAAGAAATCAGTACTCAAAATAATGTATTTTAACACAGCAGGAAAATTAAGAGTATATCAATAACTGAATTAGGGAAAACCTAAGTAGGATTGCAAATTTAATACAAATGTTAAATTTAATAAGTTCTGGTGAAAAAATTGTGCAAAGACATTTTCAGTAATATTAAAAATAATTTACAAGCTGAAATACATGAGTTTTAACATTCCAGTCTCCAGTCGTTTCAAAACACATGTCCATACAGAGTTACCTGTTTTCACCACTTGAACTGTTCTAGAGAACAAGCAAGCAGAGTTTCATAAGCTAAAGGAGTCAAGTTTTGTCTGGCCCAAAACACTTCAGTAAAATAAAAAAAACACCAAACCAAAAACCTAACTGTGCTAAACAAAGCAGCTGAAAACACAGCTAAGGTTAGGAACACATGATGCACCACTCAGCCTTTCAACCACAGAGCAAGTAATTTACCCACTAAGTTCAGAAGGAAAAAAACCTGAGGTGGCGCACGTTCTTGTATTTGCCGCTTTTAGGTACTATAGCCAGATGAGTAAAGTTTGTAGCAAAGCTGTTTGCTTCAGCAGAGCACTCAGACAAACAAATCCTGGGAAGCTCTGCCTGTTCCAGTAACACCAGCCCTGTTTCCTTCTGCTTCACGTGTGCCATTTCCATCCACGCAAAAGGAGGGAGGCTTTTTGCAAGAGTGGAGCAAGAAGGCCTCTCAGCTGAACTTTAAAAAGTGCCTCCTCCTGAAAGCTACAACTCTGCTGAATCCAACAGCAAACTGGAATAACTGGACACTAAACAAGCAGGGGCACATGGGCTGTGATATCTGCAGTTCAGTGGAAGCATTTCATTCAAGGAAAGAGAAAAGCTATTTCTTGTTAAGCTTCCCACTCAGCAGCAGAAACAGCAACTGACCTTCCTGCTCAGCAATCAAGTTCAACTATCATACAACAGGAAAATACTTGATCTGAAAGATTTTTTCTGACATAAAAACTAAGTTTCATCATCTCCATGAGCTGATTAAGAAAATAATTTTTAAAAAGCAGCTCATAATTGTTCCCCTGCTTTCACTCATTTCTCAGCAAGAAGGTAAAGCTAAGTTTCATTTTACAAAGCAGATTTTAACAAGTATTTTAAGTTAAAAAATGTTCCCAAGAATTGTTCTGTAAAATTTCTATGTATTTCTATGAGGCTTTATGCCTCTAATATTCCTTCTGCTGCACTAATTACTATCTCCAACTTCGCTTTTTGTTTACATTCAGTTTCAGTAGCGCTTTCCTTTGGCAAGAGGTACTAAACTACATCTCAAGCTTTCTTAAACAATCTCCAAAGTAGAACCCACATTTTCCTGGAGTCAGATGCTATAGTTTTTCACTTTACAGGTGGCTTAGGAAGAAAAAAAATAAATTCCCAAGAAGCAAATTCCAAAGACTTGATAGAAACAATCAGCCAAATTTGGTTCAGAGCGATGTGCGATGTGTTTTATGCCTATCAGAGAGGATTAGTCTTGAATTACAGCCATGACTAGCAGTCTCTGGCACTGCCAGAGGTTTCCGGTATAGCTCCAGCATATCACCATTTCTGTGGCCCAGTTTTCAAATATAAAGTTGTGATAGTTCCTACCTCTCCGCAGGGATGATTAGTCACTGAGCATTTTACAGATTTAAACACTGTTTAAGGAGTACGCACCAATGCTGCTAATAGAGGACAACAGCAATGTAGCCATCGCATACAATTACACAAGTATGCATACTTGCATTCTTGTATACAAGCAGCAATACATGTACAATTTTGCAACAGTTTTGGAAAACTGAGGAATAACTGGAAATACAGCAACAGTCCCTGTCACTGCAACAGACAGCACTGCTTTAACAAATTCAGCACCATGGTCTTCTGCCAGTTTCACATTAAGCCCATTGGAAGACACCATTTTATTGGTGAAACAGCCCCTTTCTTACTGTTCTTTCTCTACAAATTTGTCACAAAGCCAACAACCCCTCCCCCCCAGTATTCTCAAGGAAAAAAAGCTTATAAAATCTAATCTGCTTGTTTTGCACACATATAATCATAACAGAAAACATGGCTTATGCTTCAAGTGATGCTCCAAAACATTGGTATGTGAGTGCAAATGCAGGACCACCATCCTATTATAAGCCACAAAAGTGCCTCTTTTTTTTTTTTGGTCAGAAAGGCTCCCTCAAACAACTCCCCTCTACCAGCTATTTAAAAGATTACAGAATTGAAAGGCTGAAGAAAATTTAAAGAATGACAAAGGATACTTCATCCAAACATGCAGGAGAAAAACAAGGAAGGAAAATAAGGGAACAAGTTGCTTTTCTCATAGAAGTTTTCAGGTCTCAGCAAATTCTGTAAGAAACAACAGCACAATGCCTACCAAGCTGCCTTCTTACAAGGTACCAGGAAGAACAACATGAGTGTCCGCTCCCTTCCTTCCCATTTGTCAGAATTCATATTCCCTGTGGGACAACTGCTACATTTTTTTCTAGTTTAAGCTGGAAATAGCCAGAGCTTATTTTTAATGATAGCAGCAGCTGACAGAGAGTGGCAGAAGATCACTCATTTTCCTCCATAGACATAACCTCACAGATTCAATACTGGCGTGCAACACAATTATTTATTAAAGTCATATATTGCAGCTTTCCAGTTTGTAGTCAAGAAAGCATAATGA